TGGAGGGTCACTGACTTCAGCAAGTTTGGCGAAGCGTGCAGTGCTGGTGTCACAGTATGGTGCCCCAAAGAAGACGCTGAGGCGATTAAGACCGCAGGGGACAGGCTCAACTGTCGTCTAAATCAAGCCAAAGTGAAATTCTAAAGAGATTGACGACGAGCAAGACATCGCCTCTGGTATGGGGCTAACGGGTCTGTGTAGACCGTTAGGGCGGTGGATGGTCCCATGTCAGAAAACCATAAAGGTTGAACAACTGAATATTCATCACAGTAAAGCAGCATCGGCAATTATCCTGCGATACTTTGACGAAGACAAGTTGGATATACTACTGATTCAAGAGCCCTGGATTGTTCAAAACGCATAAGGGGTCGCTACATCAGTTGCCACGCTGTTCTTTTCACAGGCAGCTGGAAAAATAAGGACATGCATTATGGTGAGGAAAAGGATACACTGCACCCAATTGCCTCATCTATGCTCACCAGAACTTACTACGGTAAGAGTAGGTAATGATGCAAATACCTTTATCATGGCGACGGCCTATCTGCCATATGACTCTAAACCACCTCACAGTCAGGAGGTAATCAGACTGATGGAGTATTGTAGAACATTGCGTGTGGTAGCAGCGATAGTAACAACAAAGGGGAATCTCTCCTCGAGTTTGTTAAAAAATACAATCTGATGATTGTAAACAGGGGGTTAGAACCCACCTTCGTTGGCACACGTATTCTGCTTATTGAATAAAAAAAGCAAATATATAAATTTTTATTATTACTAAAATTTAACTACCGTAAAAATTTTTGAATTATAAATAAAGTAAATTTATTTAAATAAAATTAATCTTGTGCCTATATGTCTTGATTTTAGTTTTTCTTAGAGCGTTTATTAAGTTTGCATTTTGTTTATTTGATTGTGTAGTGATGTGGTTGGTGTCTTCAGATAATCTTTAATAACATCTTAAACAATATCATCGAACACAATTTGGAAAATTGGATATCGAAGAATTTGTGCATGTGTTAATTTAATCAATCATTGTCTTGAAGACAATGTCGTTAACCACAATTTAATCATTTAATCATTTATATAAACATCAGGTTTATATAGCCGCTTAGTAACAAATATAATTTGATTACCATACTGTAAAAATTATAAAAATATAAGATCTGATTTGCTATTACAATATTTATTAAGTAAAAATCCTTACCTGTATTTATACATTTTATCAGTCATTTCACAATAACCAACAAACACTAAAAGCGAATTAATTTCACTTTTAAACGCGCGACTTTCAATTTATACTTTGATCTCAAAATTAACTTGTACTATGAGTCTTTTTTTTGCTTGGCGGAAATAATAGTTATTTTTGAGTTTCTTGTTTTTAAGGCAAAAATAATAATTATTGTTGCGTTTTAAAATCAAAAGCAGAATGTACTAGAACGTACTAGTGCACAAAAAAGTAAAAAGCAAATAATAAAATACTGAAAATTTCTGAAACATGTGATATGAGACAAATTTTATTATTTTTAAAGTTTTATTTTAAAAAAGTGAATATATATGAGGTATACATTATATGAAGAATGAATTTTTTTTTTTTTTTGAGTTTTATTTTGATTTTTATTGAATCTTCTAAAAATCAACTTAGAACTAACAATAAATTTTCGCTGCTAATTGCTGTATTAAAATATTTGAAAAAAGAAAAGTAGATAATTAATTGTCCTTAGCCAAAGCTTCGTCCAATTTCGTTACCATGTCGGGCGTTATTCTTTAATAGCCGGGTTTATGTAGTTTTTTTTGAGTCGCTGTGTACCAGCACTTTGGGTAAGGTTGCTTGCAAGTGGATTTCGATGGTTCCTGAGTTTGATTTTGTACTTTTGTGTGTTGCTGATAATTACATCTGTGACTGTGTCAATTCGAAGATCTCTATGAATATTTGCGTTTTTTATATACCAGGGGGCACCGACTATTTGCCGGAGGATTTTTGATTGAGTTCTTTGAAGTTTTTCAATGTTTGATGGAGAAGCTGAGCTCCAGAGTTCAATTCCGTAGGTCCATATGGGTTTCATCATTGTGTTGTAAAGTTGCACTTTATAGGTGAGATTAAGTTTAGAATTGTTATTTATCAGCCAGTTTAGTTCTTGTTGTTTGAGTTTAATTTGGGTTACTTTGGTTTCTATATGCTTTTTCCACGTAAGCCTTTAATCGAGGTGCATTCCTAAGTATTTGGTGTCATTGCATTGTGGTATTACTTTTCCATTAATACGATAATAATATTCTTAATAATAAGAAGAATGAATGTTGTTAGATTTATAAATATAAACTTAGAATTTTTTGCAACTTTTTTTCCTAGAAAATTTTTAAAATAAGAAAAAAAGAAAATTCCTGGTGTGAATATCTCAATGTTCACAAACAATAAGGTACAAGCAAATTTCTAATAAGCACTCAGCCTCGTATTTAATAATTCGAAAATTTCTAACATCTTTCAATAAATTGACCTGTGTTTCCAGTGTCCAATATAACGACAACACCAATGCAGAAGTTTAAAAACTTTCTCAAAAAATCTGATTTTATATACAAGGTGAGATGAAAAAACTGCAACAAAGTAAAACGCCATAATTTTTTCATTTTTTTTAAATTTTATTGAATGAAAGCAAAAAATGTCGGAAATAACATCAAATTTGAGAATCGGTTTAGATTTGTTCGAATTGGCCCCCTTTGGCACGAACTATGGCCTTCAAACGGCCAATGAAACCATCACACGCTGCCCGAAAGTGGCTCTGCGGTATTTTGTCCCATTCTCGGCGAAGCGCTTGCTTGAGATGATCGACACTTTGGTATTTTTTAGTTCCAACCTTGCTTTCCAAAATACCCCAGGCACAATAGTCCAACGGATTGGCATCCGGAGATTTTGGTGGCCATTGTGCGGTGGAAATGAAGCGAGGAACCTCATTTCTTAACCATTCTTGGATGGCGCGTGCTGAGTGCGATGGTGCTGAGTCCTGTTGGAATGTCCAAGGTCTGCGGCCGAAATGTTTGCGTGCCCAGGGCTTCAGAACTCCCTCCAAAATATTTTCGCGATAGATTTGCGCATTTAATTTGACACCACGGTCGATGAATACGAGCGGCGAGCGACCATCGGCTGTTATGGCGGCCCACACCATCACCATGGCCGGCTTTTGAGTTGTGATGGCCAACCGAAGTTGCAAATTTTCAGCTGACCTCTCTGGCAAGTAAACACGATCATTTTGTTTGTTTACAAACTGCTGGATAACGAATGGTTTCTCATCGGAGAAAACCAAATTCGGCAGTTCACCACTTTCGGCCAAGCGAAACAACTCTTTAGCTTTTTCGAGTCTAACTTTTTTTTGCGCATCAGTAAGATCTTGCACTTTTTGGAACTTGAATGGCTTTAGTCCAAGCTCATTTTTCAATATTTGCCGAATGGCATATTGCGATATGTTCAGCTCACGAGCCATTTTTCGTCCACTGCGACGCGGATTTCGTTCAATTCGCTTTTTCACTTTTCGAACCATTTCTGCCGATGTTGCTGTTTTTTTTCGTCCACTTCCTTGACGTCGGGCTACGCTACCAGTATCATGGTAACGAGCGATGGTACGAGACACAAAACATTTATTCACTTCTAAATGCTGGAGGGCTCTAACGATAGCCACTTGTGGTTTTCCAGCCAAATGCAAAGCAATCACACTATCACGCTTGAATTCCATCACAAATAACTTTTTTTTTGAAAAATTCCCACCAAAATGCTTTTGTGCGCTTGTAAACAATATAATGAGCTGTCACTAGAATAAATCTGACAGCTGTGGGACGAGCGGTTTAGAAATGACAGCAGTCTGAAGTTGGTTGCAGTTTTTTCATCTCACCTTGTAATTATAATGCAAAACTAGTATCTTTGTTTTGTCGTTCAATGCTTAAGTCGAATTTTGTACCTAAAAAAGAACATTTGCGGCTTTGCTTTTCTTATTTAATCAAAAGAAAAAGGTGCTTGAAACAATTCGTTTGTTTTTAAAAACATATGCTGAATACTCTTCTTTGATTAAGATATGTGAAACCGGATTTCATTAATGTCGAAACCGTTAATGCACAGCACGATCGCCACAAATGATTAATTTAAATAATGCATTGATCGAAAGACGACCGGAATGGGACAGAAGATGTGGCAAAGTGATCTTGTTACATGACCAGTGAGATTTGATTAGATATAAATATTAGATAATAACAATTTCGAGAAAGTTGGGAAGTAGCTCTACGAATAGTTTGTCGCTAATGTCGCAGTTTTTCTGTCATGGTGTTTATAAATTTTCTAAAAGATGGGTGAAATGTGCAGAAACCGATTGCCAAGATTAAATAAAATTAATTTCTTTCGAAAATTACTCTTTTTTGTTAACAAAAAAAAAAAAAATCGCGAAAAAACATCAATACACCTGGTACTTTGATTTGATTAGATATAAAGGGAATATTTTTACTCAAGAAAAAGCAATAAGCTTAAGCAACACTAAAAAGAAAAATAAGAATAATTATTACGAAAATTTATTTATTTGCAGGACAACTTTTTTTTTAAAATTTCTCTTAAGTATTTTTAATTATTCCAAAACTTAAATCACTTTATTACTTTCTGGTGGTATATATTAGAATTTGCAAACTAAAAAGAAGTTGTTGATATATAATGTACTATAAAAATCAGTGGTCTTCAGTTACACCGAAAATTAAAAATTTAGTTTCTTCTAGTAGCCTGCCTTAAACAAAATGAATTTCAACTTAATTTATTATTATTTGATTAGCAGCAATATATTCATCCATGTCTTACTCGTGGATAATTCAACTCAATATTTAATTTCTAACGTTTGTCAACGATTGATCTAATACTCTCACTGTCCTCAAATGGGTATACTGATCATAAATATGTGAAATTTAATAAGTAATGATACATATATTATATATTTATACCAAAATATTGAGTAATTTTTTTCTTGCTTTTGTTTTTTAAGATGATATTCGTTGGGCGACATTTCCAGTATTGCCACAACTTTTCGAGTTGGATCTTAGTAGCTGCAATATCGAATTTTTAACTGCAAATATATTTCGAAACATGACAAAGTTACGTAAGCTTTTTATATCACACAATAAAATGATGACTATTCCATCCGATACCTTCCAATATATAAGTGGACTTCAATATTTGGATCTATCTTTTACAAATGTTTTAGACTTTAATTATAACTTGCCTTTGCCTACAATTGAAGCTGTTATTAACCTAATTTATGGAGTAAAAATTCAAAAACTTACCTTTAAGTTCTTACCGAACTTGTTATACCTGGATTTGGGACATACAAAAATAACCAGAAGCAGTGCTGTAGCTTTCGCTCATTTAAGTGAAAAACTGAAGTATTTAAGTTTATGCTACACCTCATTTCCAATGGTTGGAAGTGCTATTTTTAAAAATACAGCTTTAGTTGGAATTGATCTCTCTGGTAATCCATACGCTTCATATAATATAATTGATGATGCATTTGATGGCGTTGCAGATACGTTAAAATATTTGTTCTTTGAATCATCTAATATAAAGGATTTAAACTGGTTAAAGGGCTTACGACAATTAAATGTTCTCGGCTTATCTGGTAATAATTTAAATACTATTACGACAGATGTATTTAATACACTTAAAAACTTAAAATTTCTTGATTTGAGTGCAAACTACATCGGAAATTGGTACACTCGTGCATTCACTGACAATCTAAAGCTAAGGGTATTAAATCTTCGTGGAAATAATATTAACATATTAACATCAGAAATGTTAAAGGATTTTCAGTTATTGGATTATCTTAGCCTTGGTGACAATAACTTTGTTTGTGATTGTCTCTTGCGAGAATTGGTTGATATTTCTGCAGCCAATAATAAAGAAGCGGAATGTGCCCGTAATTTAATTGAAGACGCTCAAGATTTTATAATAAAAAACTCAAGTTTCATTAATAAATACATATCATCAAACTTAACTCTTGGTATGCGAAGTGTTATGGGAAGAACAAATTTCGCGACTAATTACACTCTTAATGCAAATGATTTCATAGATTTTTCTCATTATATAACGAAAAGATATTTTACTTCATTGAATCGCAGTTTTCATAATATTAAGCAATATGAGATTGCAAAAAAACAACAAAAATTTCGTGTTATTCCCCATTTTTTTCGAGTGCTGCGATCTGACACTTCCGCTCAATGTTCAGGTTCTGAACCAGTTTACATATATGATAAATTGAATGGCACAACTCTGAAATTTCAGCTGCTAGATTATGAAGACACAGACTATTATTGTTTTAATGAAACACAACGAATGAATTTCGGTGAACTTAATTGCGTTTCTCAGGTGTTTGAAGATTTAACTGACCGATTACAGACTCTTATGAAAACTATTATAGTTTGTGTTTCTACTTTATTAGGACTATCATTACTTGGTATAGTGATATACTACAAACGGTGGCATATTTATTATTATTACTCATCACTTAAATCGGCAGCACTAGTATCAGAAGTTACTAAAGATAATATTGATAAATTGAATGCTTTGGCTATAAACGATCCTAATCTTGTATACGATATATTTATAAGTTATTGTCAAAATGATCGGCAATGGATTTTGGAGGAATTGTTGCCAAATGTAGAAGAAGTCGGTGACCTTTCCATTTGTATGCACGAACGAGATTTCGAGGTATAAATACGAAACTTAAAATAATTAATGGTCTGTTTTTATTTTATATCATTTTATATGCAACTAGGTTGGGATGACAATTCTGGACAACATAATTTCATGCATGGACCGTTCTCGAGCAATGATGTTAATTATATCTAGTAATTTCCTTTTAAGTCATTGGTGTCAATTTGAGATGTATTTAGCTCAACATAGGTATACTAATATTTTTGTGACTGCACTCATAATAACAACTTTGAATTTAGAATTTTTGAAGTCAATAAAGAGCATTTAATACTGGTATTTTTGGAAGATATACCACGTAACAAAAGACCAAAGAATCTGCAATATCTAATGGAAGTAAAAACGTACATTAAGTGGCCATCGCTCTCAGAATGTAAGCAGTCAGATTCTGAAGAATGCAAAATGTTTTGGAAACGATTAAAAAAGTCATTACAAAGAATTGTATCTACACCTAGATAATTGCAATTCACCCGACTTCATTTTATTTGGTTATACAAACTTAATTTAACATTAGTATATTTATTGTGATATCAATTTTATTGTTAACCCATTTGACTAACATAGTGGATGTTCAAAGTTTTGATCTCTTAGAAATTAGAACGTCCTAAAATTATTACCTGATTTTGTCCTGCATTAATGCAAGACAAAAAAGTTTTCCTTCTTTCTTATTTTTAAGTACATTGCTCATAAACTTCAAAATAAAAATGCGGAATCATCATACTAATTTTTCTTTCTGCGACTGTTAAAAACATTTACTTACTAAAAGAGTTCAAAAAAGGCGCGTTATTTCTTCCTAAACATGTCTTTCGGCACTATGTAATGACATAGTTACATCAAATATGAGTTCAAAACAAGAAGCATCTCGGATGATTATATGTAAAAGAAAGTTTTATTATAATTCTATAAAAAAATTTAAGTAAAATAATATTTTCAATTAATTTTGTTTTTTTTTAGTTTTTAGAGGAAAAAAAATTTCCAGAAATTGGAAAATACAAAACAACACAAAACTAAATATTATCTCCTAACTATATACTAGAGGGAAATATATAATTTGAAGTTGATTTAGCTACACTGGGGATGTGGTATATGGTATGGTATATAATTATTTTCAGGGTACTGATGTAATATTTTTATAATATGCCACTATTTCAATACAAATAACAAAAAAATATATCAGCACAATAACAATACGAGGGTCATTATTTATATTTTGAGCTTTGGCTGAAAACACTGACATTGAATGTTGTCAGGTGTTACCTGACGTTTTCATACGAAAGTTTAACATTATTAATGATAACCTACCTTAGATTTTTTGTCAAAAGCGCGTTATTTGTGTTATTTATTGATTTGTAAATTGAATGTTTGTGAAATAATGGGATTAACGTGAGAAAATTTTTGTACGATGATTTGTTACGACTTACGACGTGGATTATCAAGACAAGAAACATCGATCAACTTACTTCCACATTTGGCGATAAAGTTTCATCCTTTGACACTGTGAAACACTGCCACTAGTACAATCATTGTAATCGTGGTCGCAGTTTGCTCACTGACCGCACTTAAATTCGTAAAAGTCCAAAATCGTCCAAAATCAATTGTTGTTCGAAAATTGATAATGCAAGATTGTCATGCGACACACTTGTACTATGAGATTGAGAGAACTCTATTAGTTTCACCAGCTTATATAAAATATTACACGATCATTTAACCGTGAGAAAGATTTATTCTCGTTGGATCCCCGCATTATTTGACAAAATCTCAAAAAGATACTCGTGTCGATTGGTGCACACAAATGTTCAAGAAGTACAATGGCGGTGCTTCGAAAGACGTATATTCGTATAATATTTCAATTCAATTCAACATTTATTTACTTCTGCTTCTGAACTTATAGTTGTGACAGAAGGAGGTTTGATGTATACTTCTAATTAGGTTTAAAAAGTAAGCGATAAAAACAAAAAAAGTTAAGTTAAATAAATAGTAGGGAAATAATTATATATGTATATATATCTACAAAAACAATTTCTTTTTTTCTTTTTTTTTTGGGAAAAGCAAAATCTTATTCGTTTATAATAAATGATCTGATTTTAAGACTATTTAATATATATGTGAATATTGCTTTAGATGATTGCGAACCAGTGCAGTTGAAAATTAGATATTTATTGTCTCTGAAGCCTGTAAGTAAGAAACTAAGATGGTGATCTCGTACTGAGGAGTAATTATATTCGTATAATATTATAACAGGTGACGAATCATGGATGTATGCTTATGAGCCAAAACGTAAACAGCAATCAATTGTATGGGTGTTTTAAGATGAACCAAATCTAACAAAAATTCGCGCTTGAAGTACTTCGAAACAAAAGGTCGCATGTTTTTTCGAGAAAACTGGTCATGTGGCAACTACACTATTATAGGAACGTAAAACAATTAATTCCGAATGGTATACAACCATTTTTTTACCGGAAGTCTTTAGTGAAATACAGAAAACAAACAAGCGTCGTCGGATCATTCTCCATTAAGACAATGTGTAAATTTATTTCTTTGAATAATATTTTTTAATAATTTTTATATTAATTAATTTATTTATTAAAATAGTATTTTTTTATAATCTTATTATTAATAGTATTTTTACTAATTGTTGTCGCTTACGCGGCGTATTTCAAACTAAACTTAAAATTAATTTTACAATAATTATAACTCTTAAACAATATCCATTACGGGATATTGTTTTGCAAACATAAAACAATACCATTGTATCAAAACAATATCCCGTAAGAAATATTTTGATGCAATTGATCAATAGTTATAATGATCAATTCAATAAATGATCATTGACTTGTATGCTTACACATCTTGTCTAACAACTGACTATTTGAAGATTCAAAAAATCAAAGGTATCTGAAGAAGATTGGAAAAAAATCTTTAACAAATAGTTCGAACATACGCAAAAGTGTATTAATCATAAGGAAGAATACTTCGAGAAACAATAAAGCAATTTTCAATCACAAGTTAGTATTTTTTCATAATTAGGCTCAAAATATATATAATGACCCTTGTAAAACGGCAAATATAAATTCAACATATATACAAAAATTATCAATTTATTTTGTTTTTGATTCATTTAAGATAAACAATAAGTTCAAGGTAAAGACAATGATAAGTAGATGTCTGAATACTAGCAAGTTTTTTGTAAAAGAATTAATCAGCAGAACCAGAAACTATTACAAATCACAATGATGTGAAAGATATCCCGTCATTGACCGACCTAATGAAATATGTACTAGAAATATTTAAAACAATAAAATACTTTCATTTTTCGCTTTTATTTTCTTTCCCAAAACAAATCTGGTTTATTTATTTCACAGAAGAAATATATCCGACGTAATAACATAACAGTTATTTTTTTTTGAGAAAATTGTACTTTAGTCTTTATTATACATACCATTCGAAAATTTTTCAAAAATAGGGCTCTCGTCCTTTTTTATCAGAAGGTATACACAAAAACAGGGAAACTAAACAAGCTATCCGTGGAGCAAACGGGAAATGACAGCTATCTAGCAAAAAAAGAAATTCGTTTGTATATTTATGATAAAAAAAAGAAAATAAAAACTCAGATTCAATATTATCAGTATTATGTACAGATCTTTTTCAAACAAAACAAAACCTTGGCGCAATGAAACTGTATGGTATACTTGAAATTCAAGCGTTATAAATACCTACGGCAGAAAGATCTTGAAGCTAGATCTTAACCTACGTGTATGTTTCAAATGGTCATTTACAATTGTAGATGTACAAAAGCCCATCATAGGCGCTCACTTTTTAAATCATTTTAGATTGCTCATTGACTTTGTATTTAGCTACATAGATGATGTAATTATTGTCAGAATCTCATGAGCAGCATCAAGAACATCTTAAGCAAGTTTATCAGCGTCTTCGATAATACAAGTTAGTCATTAATGTCAGTAAATGTGCTTTTAACGAAAAGCAAGTACAATAATTAGGTTATTCTATTAACCAAAATAGTTATCAGCCACCTAAAGAGCGTTTTCAATCAATTGTCAACTATAAAGAACCTAAAACCACTCAAGAACTACGAAGATTTCTCGGTGGAATCAATTATTACCGCAGATGTATACCTAATGCAGCCAAACTTCAAGCACCTCTCAACGAATTTATGAAAGATTTGAGGAAAACTGATGAAAGAAAAGTTTCATGGCCGCAGAGAGCATTCGTAAAATGCAGAGAAAGCTTAGCTAAAGCTGAAGCAACTCGAATGTCCTTTCCAGATCCCAAAGGAGCTCTAGTTCTCACAACAGATGACTCTGACACCGCGATTGGAGCTGTTTTAGAACAGTTCGCTGAAAATCAATTCAAGCTTATTTGTTTATTTTCAAGAAAGTTAAATTCAACGGAATGTAACTACAGTACTTACGATCCAGAACTCTTTTCAGTCTATTCACCTGTTCAATTTTTCACACTTCTGAGAAGATCACAGATTCTGAGAAGATATTTATAACTAAAACCGATCACAAACCTCTTGTATATGCATAACACAGGAAGACTAAACAAACTTCACCTCGTCAACTTCGACAGTTGTCGTTTATACCAAAATTCAACACAAACATAGTTCACGTCAAAGGTGAAGATAATATTGTAACTGATGGATTGTCTGGAATAAACCAGATTGACATGCCAACAATTTTCAGTCCACATGAAATTCAACAAGATTAAGCCAACGATGATGAACTTCAAAAATTGTTAAAAAATCCCAACTCTTCATTGAAACTGCAGCAGCTTAACGTTGATCCAGAACAAAACACCTTTATTTACTGCGATATAAAAATATCAATGCAGATATTTTTATATCGCATGAATTTGTATTAGCAAGCAGCAACATGAATGCAGACAAACTTGAATACAAGCAACTTGAATACAAGCAGGACGTAGGAGCAGTCAGCATAATTAAAAATTATGGTTTGCACAAAAAGAGGGAGGTTTACACGTGCATCGGATCACTGGAAATGTGTCAAAGTTTTACACGGCAATAACGGCACTAGATACAAACACTTTACATCAGGTCGCATATATTGAGGAGTGTCGTCCCACAACAAAAAATATGTAACTTTTAAAAAGAAGTTAGAAAAAAGATGTGGTGAGTCGAAATAAATCCAAGTAGTGAAATTATTGTGAACTTAGAATTATAAAACAAACGGCCATCGCACCAACTTAAAAAAATGCGAAATGTAGCCGTCACTAACGTTTCTGAGGAAGTATTGGCAGCCCTCTAGCTACAACGGCTACCCTGCAATTTAAGGTGCATTTTGTCTGCAAGTAATACAAGTAATGTAGACCAAACAGCAGAGTTAGTCGATCGAATTATGGACAGCATGTCATCTTCGCAGTATGTTATGATCACGCCACAGTGCATTGATGCGACAGTTAGTCATGAGAAGAAAACGGTTCCAACTCCAAAATCGAGAGTGCTAGTACTTGAAACTTCAATCCAGAAGCTTATAGCAAATGTTAGCAGTTTCACATCAGAAATCAGATCTGTTCGCTGTAGTTAAACAAATAGCAGGCAGCGTAGCCCAATCCGCAACAATTTATACTGTTACCACTCACGTTTTGGTGCCAATGCCACGAAGTGCCAACAGCTATATAATTTCTCAGCAACATAGACTGAACGAACTTAAGTCATAGTCGAGCCCCATCCGTTTTGTTAAAAAGAGGAGAGGTGGATGGAGGGCATGTGGTGATTGTTGTAAGCTGAACGGTAGCACGAAACGAGACCGATATTCAATACCGTACACCGATCAAGTCTTAGAACGACTTCATGGGAGTCAATATTCTCTAAGATGGACATT